CAGCAACTAGAAGGATGTGCAGCTATGACATACAACTATCTACTGGGGCTTTGGGGGGAAAAAATAAATAAATAAAATCTTTAAAAAAAAAAAATAGTTATAGCTAATATATACAGGTATTAATTATATAATAATATATTAGTTATACATTAAATATAAAAACTATAATACTTTATATAAATAACATTTTTCATGTTAAAAATAGTCTTCCTAAGAGATTTATTTTCACTCAACAGATATCCAAAAATGTAACTTTCTGGTTCCCATGATATGGTAATGTGGTACTTTTCTTCTGAAAATTAAGAGGCAACACCACTGGAATTAAAAGAGTAGTTATGATATGTTTGTCACGTTTAATGCACATAATACAAATTTAAAATGGAATTGAATTAACAAATTACTAATGGAATTAACTGAACTAAACTCTGATGAAGCATAAATAATCTATGCTCTGGTACCACTAACGTTTATTACAATCTCCCTCTCTACTGCTTGTTGTCTTCCTAAAGGTAGGTATACAAATTAGGATACACAGAATTTTAACCTACATATGAAAAATTTTAATATCTATTCTTAAGTAATATCAAGTCTCTTAAAAGCCCTGGTTTTTAAACTATTTATTGATTTACCCAACATATACTTATTGAATGCCAGGTTCCAAGAGCTCAGAGAACACAGAGCTTTCAAGGAGTTACCATCTAGTGTGAGGATTCGGACACATCAGCAGCTATATTCTCACTAATTTTTTCCCAATTATTTTGAATTGATCTAGAATGTTTTTAACATAGCAAAACCTAAGCAATCTATTCTTTTTACTTATTTCAACACTTTAAAATAACATATACAAAGTACTAAGATTTAGGGCAATTTTTTATACTAATGAACTTTATTAGCCACAGTTTGAAAATGAAAATTAATTTTCATAGGTTCTTACCTTCACAATGTTTCCAACAATAAGCTCTTGATTGTTTTCAGTATCAGATAAAAGCTGCTTAATCCCATTAATACGATCACGAAAGTCTTTTGCATTTAATAAACCTGTTATGACTTTAATGTACTCAGCACTTTCTAAGGAACTGCGGGGAACTGATTTTCTGGTGACTTCACGAACTTCAGTTACCTCTCTAAAGTGAAGGAAAGGTAAATTTAATTTTGTTATTAATTTCCTATTAAAAATACAAACATACGTAATTCTCATTATACATTCATTTTTCAAAAATTCACAAAATGACCTAACCCATAGCCACAATACCTGTGTTGGGGTCCCCAGGATCTCCCCTGGGTAGATTTCTTTTTTTGTTTTTTTTTTTTTTAAAGATTTTATTTATTTATTTTTTCCCCCAAAGCCCCAGTAGATAGTCGTATGTCATAGCTGCACATCCTTCTAGTTGCTGTATGTGGGACTCAGCCTCAGGATGGACGGAGAAGTGGTGCCTCAGTGCGCGCCCGGGATCCGAACCCGGGCCGCCAGCATCGGAGCGCGCACACTTAACCACCAAGCCACGGGGCCGGCCCTAAGATTTCTTATAGCAGAAGGATACAAAGCAAAATCAGTAAAGGGAAAAGGCGCTTGGGTCAAAGTCTGGAGGAAACCAGAGGTAAGCTGCCAAGGGTCCTTTCCCAGTGGAGTCACACAGGACAAACTTAATTCCTGTGACAACAAACCGTGACAACACATGTGAAATGCTGTCTACCAACAAAGCTTATCAGAGGCTCAGTGCCCAGGGCTTTTATCGGGAGTTGGTCACGGTTGGTCGTCTCCTAGGACATACTAAAATTCCAGACTCCCAGAAGAAAAGCAGGTCTTCAGGGCCGGCCCCATGGCTTAGCAGTTAAGTGCGCGTGCTCCGCTGCTGGTGGCCCGG